ACCATCACCAAGCTAAAAAAACAAATCTCACTTTGACAATACGAAGTAAGTCACTGCTCTGGCACACACCCATAGTATAGCTCCAGATCAAACGCTGAGATTTGTTTTCCGGAATACATAACATGTTGTCCAGGGAATTGGTTTGCCAGGTGACTTATCAACAGTGTCTATAGAATTGACACTAACCTAAAAGTAAAAATCAGCCTAGAAAACAGAAAAATACACTACTACTGCCACCTGTGGTTTAGGGTTGAACAGCTTCTCCGCTATAAACAAATTTAAGGATTCAGAGTTTTCAATTAGGATGCAAAGATATCATTTTAGAAGAAAATTTTAAAAGTTAACTCATAATACAAAAAATTACAGCATTTACTTTTTTGAAACTTAAGAATTCATAACTTCTTAATCTGGAATTACATAATGCTACAGAAAACCACAAACTACCTTGAATAAAAATGTTTCCATTGCACAAAGGCTAACTTTTGAAAACCTTAAAACAAAACTTGCATTTTTTACAGAAATCTAGTTTTCTCTTCGACATAATAGTAAATCCAGCTTGCTTTCAACATGATACAAGTCTGAAGTTTAATTATTTCTATAATTTAAGAACAAAAATCAAAAATGCAAAAAAAGCTCAAAGTAGGCTATTTTTCCAACTTATTTTCTCTCAATTTGCTTTCTCAAATGACAACCATGGTAGCATGGGGATCAAACCAGTCTGTGCAGTTGGGGGTGGGGAAAAAAGCAATTCAGATCCCCAGCAGCCAGCTGAGGCAATCCTTGTCCTTCCAAGCTCAATCACCGTTAATTAGAATTGCTGAGTACACTAGAAAAGGCTTATTAAAATAATTTAAATAATTGTAACCCTCAGGAAAACAAATCTATTTTCTTCAGAGACATCTCTAGAAAGGATGATGTTTAACAGGTCATAAGAACAGAATAAAATAAGCAAGAAATCTTTAATTTAAATAAATTATGCCTATTTGTTTCTAAACAATAGTTATCTCACAATGTCGTGGGTTTGGTTGTTTTTTTTCTTTCTAATTTCCCTAACTTACCAGTCTAACAAGCACCCAAAACTATGCTGCAAACACTGGGAACGCGGAAGACTGAGGCTGATTTTAGGGATATCATACAGCAAAGTTATATCCAGAGAGTCCTAAAATTCACAATTAAAATAAAGATGAACCCAAAACTTCAGTTACAAAAACCTTAATTACCAAAACAGAATTCTGTGGCTCAGTACCAAGCCACCTTGCAAACTTACTAATTCTGTCATCTCTGAACACCACTTATCAGTGATAACCATAAATGTTCAAGGCAAACATTTATTAAGAATAATTTTTTAATTTTTAAGTTGACTTCAAAAATACAAAAAAAAAAAAAAAAAAAAAAAAAAAAACTTCCCTTCACAGCTTGTGTGTTTTGGAAATGTGTTCGAGGTTTTACAAAGGATTGGTTATATTGCACCACTACCCACAGGGGCACATTAAAAAACTACCTGCTCCTTAAAACTGCTTCCTTGTTGAAATGGAAGCCTGTTTACCTGTAGTCAGAGCTTTCTAATTCTGACCCCTTTTCTCAAATAAGATGACTGACTATAATATGGTTTTTACACACAAAGTCATGTCCTTCTATTTAAGAGCTATTTTAGCAACTGTCCTAAAAGTGTGTTTAACCTAGAATTTTTTTCCTTTGTCCCACAACTTCAGAGAAATAAGGGAGATGAGAAATCAAGAAATACTGATATATATACATATATATACACATATATGAGTATAGTTTAGTCTTGAAAACCTGCATTTTTTCATTAGCTTCCCTTCTAACACCTTTTCATGTACTTGTACAAGGATTCAACTTCTGCTACAAAATGTAGCATGAATTTCATATTGTAAGCATGCTCTCCTCATACTCTGCAAGAATAAGGTGTTTTCAGCATATGGTGAATGGTAGGTACATCACAGCCTGGAAATGTGGTAACTTTACATCTCAGATTTTTCCTTAAGGAAACTAGAGAATTCTCAGTTGATTCAGAATTAAAATTTCAAGTCACAAAACTAAAAAGTTAAATTTGTGAAGTAAAGTGCTTGTTAATTTAAGAAATTTAAGCATTTTAAGCCGAACATGGTGGTGCACACTGTTAGTCCCAGCACTCAGAAAGGCAGAGGCAGGCGGTTTTCTGAGTTTAAGACCAGTCTGGTCTACAAATTGAGCTCCAGGAGAACCAGGACTACACAGAGAAACTGTGTCTCGAAAAAACAAAACAAACAAAAAGAAGCATTTTGTTGGTAATCTCATGTGAGGAAGCATCCACAGTACTTAGTGAGCTCATTTCCTCCAGAGGAATAAGGTGAAATTATGCACTGAATTCCTTATAATGGTTTATAGTCTTTTTCCTATTTAAATATTTAAAAATCTACTCCCTCACTCTCTTGAAATAAAATGAACAAATGCTTCCTCAAAGCATTCATCTCCCTTTGAAATCCCAAAAGGGAGCAATCATTATTACAACTAAGTGAGTTTGTTTGTTATGAAAACCACAAGCAACAGCCAAAAATAGCAGAGTCAGCACAAGGAATTCCTGGAAGGGTGATGGTGCATCAAAAGGCTAGCTACTCTGTTAGGATGGAATCATAAAAACATCTGGAGGACTGTAAATTCAGCAATGGACTTTACTTCTTGACACAGACCGAAGACCTCCTCTCTAGATAGCGACTTCAGAAAAAATGGAAATGTCACCAGGATGAAAAGTTAAAGAAGTGCTTTTCCCCTCAGATATCAAACAATCTCATTTATCTTTGGAGAAAACTATTCATTATGGGAGGAAGGGGAAAAAGTCCACTATTCCAAAGGAAAATTTTATATTTTGAAAATTCTCCTGAGCACTTTTTGAGTACTCATCAACAAACTACAAAACACCACAGACACATTGATAATTTTTGTACCGAAAAAAACAAGCTATGCTACAAAAATTTCATATTTTCTCTTGAACAAATTAAGCTGCCAAAAGTTCACATTGTGTTTTTGACAAAAAAAAAAAAGAATATATTTGTATCACTAACTTCGACTGGTGTGAAATAGTAAAAACCGCTTTTAGCTTAACAGACTGTTCCTTAAAAGTCTTTTAAATGGTTCTGATCCATTGAGGAAAAAATGAGTATTAACAAATAATCTGATTAAGAGATAAAATTGCCACACCGTTCTTTAAATGTTCCAATGAATAATTAATAACAACGGCATTGTTCTCTTGCTTCCCTTACAATAATATTTCAGTAGAGCTGCAATAAAATCTGTCATCCAACGGTAAGCACAGGTGGGGACAGGAACTACTCGCAAACAGGAAAGCATTACGGAAATATACTAACAGGGACATCCGATAGATCTGGGCGTGGAATTTTAAAATCTGCACGGCAAATTTGAAGTCAAGAATTACAACATTTCCAGGTTAACATCAAACCAAACCTCTGCATAAATTAATTTTTAAAACGTCAAAAACATTAAAGAAATCATCTTGGTTCTAGACACTGTCCCTTTCTACCCTAACTATATTCCTTCCTCCCCCTTTGCGACGTGGGATTTTATCGATCCCAAACACGTTCACACGCAGAATCACTCCCCATTGGATGCCCGGCCACCTAGGTCCCACACATCATACACATCTCAAGAACTCAAGAGCTTTAAAAACATCACCGTTTGATCATCATAATATCAAATTAGCCAGGCTTTCTTCTAAACAGACTTTTCCTCTTAACTGGTTAAAAAAAAAAAACTAAAGATCTACTGAATTAACAATAAATGGTTGATGAATTAATTAGCTTATGAAGAAGCAAATCCAGCCCGATTTCCCTTTTGTGGCTCCCCATTCATTCAAGCCACAAACGAACGCCTTGGTGACCGATTTTCGGGTTGCTTTCCCCACACCTGCCAGGTCACTGTCCTGATTTGAGAAACTTCTTACTAAAGCAATTAATTTTTAGTGCCTCCTAACTGTTCCCGGTGTTTGCATTCAATCTGAAATCTGTTACTTGTTAGACACTGTTCGGGTCCTAGATCTCCCAGAGAATTGCGCGTTTATGGCGCAGAGAGGGGAGGAGGCAGGGATCTCTGAGAGCCTGCCCTTTATTCGGAAATGAGATGTGAAGGTGGAAGGCAGGGCAAATAAATAAATAAATCGGGTTTACCGCGGGAGCGTTTGCCAGCCGCAACGAGCACCCTTTGTAATGCAGGCCTCCCGGGGCTATCGCCTTCGCTAATTGCTCCAGGGCGCTTTCCAAGTTCAAAAGTTCACCTTTTACGACCTCACAAAAGCTCCTTACACATTACCAATAAAAACATTCCGCCGCAAACACCGAGGGGGAAAATATCAAACAGAAACAAAACGCTGCGCGGGGGAAGGGGGGAGCCAACCCGGAGGAACCTGCGGGCTGGGCCGGGACAAGGGGGACACAGCGGCCCGGCCAGGTGAGGAATTCTCAGCACCCCGGAAGAGCTAGGCTGGGCGGCCAGCGAAGCGTCCGGCAAAGGCCGGGAAAAGGCAGGTGTCCCGAGCCCCGGGGTCCCGCCGGAGACCTGAGCCTAGGAGAGGGGGCCTGGGCAAGGGGAGGCCGGGGGACGGGAGTGGGCACCGAGGTCCGAGGAGAGTCACCGTTAGGGGTCTGCGCAGAGGCGGACGCTCGCGGGGCTGGGAGGAAGCGTGGGGCTTCCTGAAGAAAAACGCCCCAGGATAGGTGCACGGTGCCAAGGTGTGGCGTCTGCGAGCCCCCGATGAAGAAATAGGGTGCTCCATAAACCAGGGCCTCCTGAGGGAGAAAGGACTGGCGTGGGGGGACGGCGGGGGGGGGGTCCGCGCTGAAGGGACCGGGACCCCGCGGAGAGAAAGTGCGAGCCCAGGGTGGAGTCCACGCTGAGGGCCGCCCGGCGTCCGGGGCCAGAGCCGGCAGAGAGAAAAGAGGGGATCGCAGGCGTTGGGATCGCCGGGACCCCGAAGGCCCTTCACCCACCGTTCCGCGGCGGCGGAGGGAGCGCGGCGGGCGGCTCCAGGAACCCCGCCGAGCCCCCGCCGCCTCCCGCTCCGCTGGGCGGCCGTTCGTCCCGCTCCATGCGGCGGCGCTCAGGGCCCCCGCAGGCTTCGCTGCTCCGCCATGACTCGCGCCCTCGTAGTCGTCGTCGTCGTCCACCGGGGGGAGGGGGCTGTCAGGGGCCGGCGGGCTCCCGGCCGCCGCGCGCTCTGGGCCCCGAGCCTCCCGGCTCCGCGCCCCTCCGCGCCGCGCCCCCTCAGCACTGGCCAGCTCCCTCCTCTGACGTCACGCGCTGCTGCCACGCACGTGCCCGCGGGACACACTAGGAATTGTAGTCCTCCAGGCGAGGCCGGTCACACGGGACTCTACCAATTGAGGGGGTGAGGTAAGAAGATAGGCAGTCCTGAGGAGGGAGAACCAAAACATGTCATTATTCTGAACTCTAATAAAACTTCCAATATATAGAGACCACAAATAGCTAGCCATGGTCCTCTCTGTTGTGACTTGTCCGTATACAGAGTTCCTTGTAATTCCGACTGCTTCCCCGCGCTAATAATGAGTCGTTCCAAGGAGGCGGGTCCACCAGGAGCCCGCTGAGCACGTGCAACCAAGCCCAGCCCTGTGGGGAAGGCCCCAGTGGGCGGGGTGTGTAGGTACTCTGGAGGGATTTCCTCCGGAGCTGCACGACAAATTGGACCAGAGATTAAAGGACCCGAGTTTAACCAGAGGTGACTGCGTTCGTATGCAAATAGAATCTATACAGCTCTGCTTTCCGGAGAAGTGTTTAAAGCCTCTAACCTCCGGATGGGCGGGAAAGACTAAAGTTTCTCTTCCTCCTCTTTCTTTCCCCGCACCCTGCCCATAGAACAGATGGGCAAACTAAGATCAGGTTCTTTGATGCCGTCAAAGAAAACTTGAAACTCTTGACTACGGGTATCCTAAAGAGTTGATCCTCTTTTCCAGCCTGTTCTTCCCACCTCTGCTCAGTTTACCTGTCTGAAAAATGGGAATTGTAATAAGAACCATGTCAAATGATAAGATACTAACACACACACACATACGTCGCCGTCCGTTGCACCGTGTCCAATGGTAACATGCTAACACACACACGCATACACACGTCGCCTCCGTTTACCGAAGTTTCTACCAAACAAAATCTAGATTTTCTCTCCTTCCTCCACCTTGGCACAACTCTCGCGACCACAAGGTGGCGCGCGGCCACGGGCTTCAAGGCGAGTTGTGGGGACTACTTTCCATGACGCCCCCCACCTCCCTTAGGAAACCACCGCTGTAGTAGGCTACAGCCCAGCACCCAAGCGCTATCTGACCCACTAGAAGACAAAGAACTCTAGTGCTTTCCTTGCTTGTTCTCTGCAAGGTCATGTCGAAGCGTCTTCACTCTGTCACCTCACTGCCCCATCTACCTCGGCAGTCCTCCGGTTCCTTGTGTGTCATTCCTTACTTGTTTAAAAGTCTTTATCCTGGCATATGCAATCTAGCCTGTTCCGATTGATTCCTGCCCATCCACACCTCTTTCCTCACCTGCTGCTCAGAAGACTTTGCCACACCTACAGGCATTTTCCAACAGTTGTCCATTACCAATAGTTAACCTGGGTTTTATGCTTAATTCATGCCAGCCACCGTTAGAAGAGATTTACACAAATCATATGCTGTCTAAACCTCCCACACCTGCTAGATGAGGTATCCCTGATATTGTTGTTTTCACATGCAAATGGTATGGCCCAGAAGTGATTGTCATTACGTACTTGGTGGGTCAGAAAGCTGAAATGCCACAGGGCAGTATTGACGCAAGCATTTGGGAGACGGAGGCAGGCGGTTTTTTTGAGTTCGAGGACAGCCTGGTCTACAGAGCTAGTTCCAGGACAACCAAGGCTACCCAAAGAAACCCTGTTTCGAAAAAAAACAAAACATAAAAGAAAGAAGAAAGCTGCACTACCCTTGGCCTGGCCACTATAAACTCTCAACTCATCTTTTTAAATCCTGTTCCAATCCTTCCTTAATACCTCTGGTCGAGAGACAACTAGGTCCCTCTATGTTCCCACATGGCCCTGTCTATCTAGGTGGACTGTAAGAAATGGTCTTCCTCGCCGTTTTCTGAGCTCCCCAAGGGCTGGGCGCTGTACTCCGCAGCAAGCCCTTAGTGTTGTAGGAAGAAATCCTTCTTCAGCTCTGCATTTCACCATGTGTCAGGATCAAATGGTCTTCCCAGAGCCAGCTTTCTCTGCATCACAGGCCCCTACCCTGGAATGCCAAGTGGCTGGGCAGACATCTGATGCCTGAGGATTGAAAGGTAGATAAAGATGAAGTCAACCCAACGCTGAGTTCAGCCACATGCACACCTCCTGGAAACAGCTCTTTCTCCTGTTCAGCTCCTCCTTCCCAAAGCCTCCCAAATACCCTTACCAGCCAATCCTTGTACTCTCTCCCCATTATCTCCTCTGCTACTGAGTAGCACGCAGTAGATGCTTGCTAATAGGCATCCACTAAGAGTCCAGCACCCACACTGGGCCTTATTTCTCATTTTTTGACATTTTCCCCACAACCCTGAAAAGTGAGTTCCCTCTCTGAGTTTCCAGCTGAGGAGACAGCCTGTGTAAAGCAGATTTAAAGGGCCCTCGGCATTTATAGGGAATACAGGAGAAATGGAAAGGAAGGCCTCTGACGATGAGGGGGAGTCTGCAGGAGACACAGCTCAAACCGAGATCCCAAAGCCAATCAGGAACTTGGTACTTTGAGCTGTGGGTTATCCATGGTGACAGAGATGACTGTAGGAGGATGCCATTGGTTGTCCAGATGAGGGCAGGGTTCCTCTGGTGGCCTTGCTCTAGCAGGACAAGCCTTAAAGAGTCAGTCAAGCCAGCGGTGGTGGCACAAGCCTTTAATCCCAGGGAGACAGAGGCTGTGAATTTGAGGCCAGCCTGGTCTACACAACGAGTTCCACGACAGACTCCAAAGCTACACAGAGAAACCCTGCCTTGAAACAAACAAACAAAAAGTAGCTGTTATTGGCACAACAGAGAGAAGAAAGATGGAAGATGTGAAAGAGAAGGGACTCAGAGACTGGAGAGCTTTGTCAGAGCAAAGGGTAAACTGTACCACTCGAACTTTGTAGCCATTCCCAAAGGGCAATTTAACTGTTCCTCCACCACTTTTTTGTTTTGTTTTTTTGGAGGGGGGATGTTTTGTGTTTTCCGGGACAGGGTTTCTCTGTGTACTCCTGACTGTCCTGGAACTCATTTTGTGGACCAAGCTGACCTCGGACTCAGAGATCCTCCTGATCTTGCCTCCCGAGTGCTGGGATTAAAGGCGTGCGCTAGCACCGCCCGACTATTTTCTCCCTTTTATCAATGGGGAAACTGGTACTCAAAAAGGCAAAGGGACACGTCTAAGGTCCTTCATTTTACAGAATGGAACCTCAGTTCGTCGCGAGCCCGTACTTCTCTTTCTGCCTGGCTACAGCTACGGCTCTCTCCCACCGGCACTTCTCAATGCCTCAGGACCGCAGGGGATGGGCGGGGATGGGAGGGGAGGAGCGGGCACCCCTCCACCCTAGCTCCGCCCCCAGCGGCACTGCAGGGGCACCGGGCTGGGGAGCGCCCCGCGGCAAAGCCGGGCTGCAGCGTCGAGCTCGCTGTGCTGCTGGCGATCCCAAGCGTGCTCGTGGAGACATCCGTTCCTGTCGAGCCATGGCAGCGGCAGCCCTCCGGCCTTGGTGCCTTCAGTTGAGGCTGCTGCTGCTGCTGCTGCTACTTTTGCTTTGGGCTGATCCCGTGCAGCCCGACAGTAAGGTACGTGCGCTGCTGGAACCTGGCACAGCTCGGCGATGACCGGCGCGAGGGGGCGCTATGGCCGAGGAGGGTGCCTTCAGCGGGAAGATGGGGACTAGGAAAGGCAGATCAGACTTGGGACTTGGTCTGGACTCTGGAATCAAAAGCCTTAAAAAGGAACATGAGCGGGAAGAAGCGTTGGTGATGATAGGGTGCTTGGGTCCTGGAGCTTGAGAAAGGCGCTGTGGACCTTGTAATGCTCAAAGATAGGGCCTCAAACCCAGGATCAAGTTGGGAAGTCCCAGGTGCTCAGGGGCTGGCAGGGAAAAGTGGTCAGTAAGAGCAACTGGTTGAGTTTCCATGCGGAGACTGCCCACGTGGTTGTAGATCCACGCGTGGGCAGTTATCCAGGTACTCTTGGGCTTGCAGTGGGCCTTAAACCAAGACTTACAGGAGAGGCTGGGAACTCAGAGTTATTTCCTCAGTGAAAAGGACTGGCCACCTGGCCTCTGAGACCTGAACTCACACACTGTATTCACCTGTTGCTGGTGCTTTTACCTCTCTTAGCCTCTCTCCCTCTTTCCCTGCCTTCCTCCATCCCTCTCCCCCTCCTTCCTGCCTGCCTTCCTGCCTGCCTTTCTTCCTTCCACAATCTCACTGTGTAATTCTGGTTTTGCAAGGAGGTAGAGGCAGGCAGATCACTGTAAATTCGAGGCCAGCCTAGTTTACAAAGCAAGTTCCAGGACGACCCAGGTTGTTACACAGAGAAACCCTGTCTAGAAAAACAAAAACAAAACAACAACAACAAAAAAAAAAACTGACTGGCCTCAAACTCTCAGAGATCCTTCTGCATCTGCCTCCCCAGCTCTGGGATTAAAGACATCATTCCTACCCCTATAAGCATGCGGGGGGGGGGGGGGATTGTACCCACTCCCTGCTGTTGATGATTTCTAGATTCAATGAGAAATAGTGCCCTATGGATGCTACCACAAGAATTCAGGTATTAGATCCAGAACATAGAGGGAGCAAGAACAGATTGAGAACCTCTTAAGGTTCTAGAAATGACCTGATAAATGGGCCTAGAGCAGTATTTTTCAACCTGTGTGGGTCTCACCCCTCTGAAGTCAAATGATCCTTTTACTGGGGTCACGTATTCTGGATATCAGATGCTTATGCATCATAGCAGTTATGAAGTAGCAATGAAATCATTTTATGGTTGGGGGTGGTCAGTGGCCTAGAGGAAACTGCTCACAGCGGATAGGGGCGACAGTGATTTCTCTTGATGTCACTCCATTTTTTTTTTTTCCCTGTGGAACCTAAGTCTGCCTGTGAGCAGGCAAAAGGTAAAAGCTATTTTGCTGTGCAAACTTGGAAATATGACTGTGTGTTTCTGGACTTCAGTTCCTCTAAATGAAAATAGATGCCCCCTCCGGCTCATTGAGCAAAATTCCAGATGACCTGATCACACTCTCTCACCCCCTGTCTGTCCTCTGTGGCTGGGAAGTA